TGGTTTAGTCCTGGTTTAGTCCTGGTTTAGACCTGGTTTAGAGTCCTGGTTTTTAGTCCTGGTTTAGTCCTGGTTTAGTCCTGGTTTAGTTTAGTCCTGGTTTACTGGAGTCTTTAACCTGGTTTAGTCTGGTTAGTCCTGGTTTAGTCCTGGTTTAGAGTCCTGGTTTAGTTTACCTGGTTTAGTCTGGTTTAGTCCTGGTTTAGTTTTCCTGGTTTAGTCCTGGTTTAGTCCTGGTTTAGTCCTGGTTTAGTCCTGGTTTAGTCCTGGTCCTGGTTTAGTCCTGGTTTAGTCCTGGTTTAGTCCTGGTTTTAGTCCTGGTTTAGTCCTGTTTAGGTTTAGTTTCCTGGTTTAGTCCTGGTTTAGTCCTGGTTTAGTCCTGGTTTACCTGGTTTAGTCCTGGTTTAGTCCTGGTTTAGTCCTGGTTTAGTCCTGGTTTAGTCCTGGTTTAGTCCTGGTTAGTCCTGGTTTAGTCCTGGTTTAGTCCTGGTTTAGTTTTTCTGGTTTAGTCCTGGTTTAGTCCCTGGTTTAGTCCTGGTTTAGACCTGGTTTAGTCCTGTTTAGTCCTGGTTTAGTCCTGGTTTAGACCTGGTTTAGTTCTGGTTTAGTCCTGGTTTAGTCCTGGTTTAGTCCTGGTTTAGTCCTGGTTTAGTCCTGTTTAGTTTAGTCCTGGTTTAGTTCCTGGTTTAGTCTGGTTTAGTCCTGGTTTAGTCCTGGTTTAGTCCTGGTTTAGTCCTGGTTTTAGTCCTTTAGTTAGTCTGGTTTAGTTCTGGTTTAGTCCTGGTTTAGTCCTGGTTTACTGGTTTAGTCTGGTTTTAGTCCTGGTTTACTGGTTTCTGTTTAGTCTGGTTTAGTCCTGGTTTAGTCCTGGTTTAGTTTAGTCCTGGGTTTAGTCTGGTTTAGTCTGGTTTAGTCCTGGTTTAGTTCCTGGTTTAGTCCTGGTTTAGTCCTGGTTTAGTCCTGGTTTAGTCCTGGTTTAGTCCTGGTTTAGTCCTGGTTTAGTCCTGGTTAGTCCTGGTTTAAGTTTTCCTGGTTTAGTCCTGGTTTAGTCCTGGTTTAGTCTGGTTTAGTCCTGGTTTTAGTCCTGGTTTAGTCCTGGTTTAGTCTGGTTTAGTCTGTTTTAGTTGTTTAGTCTGGTTTCTGGTTTAGTCCTGGTTTAGTCCTGGTTTAGTTCCTAGTTTCTGGTTTAGTCTGGTTTAGTCCTGGTTTTTGGTCTGGTTTAGTCCTGGTTTTAGTCCTGGTTTAGTCCTGTTTGTTTTTCTGTTTAGTCCTGGTTAGTCCTGGTTTAGTCTGGTCCTGGTTTAGTCCTGGTTTAGTCCTGGTTTAGTCCTTAGTTAGTCCTGGTTTAGTTCTGGTTTAATCCTAGATCTGATCAAGTTTGGTTCTGGTTTAGTCCTAATTTAGTTCTTGTTCAGTCCAGGTTTAGTCCTGGTTTAGTTTTGGTTTAGACCCGTAACTTGGTCTGGTTTGGTCTCCACGGAGACAGAAAAGTTTAAAGCCGCACTGTGAAACATTCCAGACAAATCAAAACAGAGAAAAGCGTCCGACGAACCCTCCAGCAGAAAAGAAGTTCCTCAGTGCAGCTTTAAGTGAGTTGGGGTAAAGTTTGGGGTTTTACCTGGGCGAGCACGGTGTTCCTGCGCAGGACGGGTCTGGGGTTAAACTCCTCGCGGCACTGAGGGCAGCAGAGTCCGGTCTCGGTCTGGTCCCAGTACTCGCCGATGCAGCTCATGCAGTAGGTGTGACCACAGGGGATGGAGACCGGCTCCTTCAGCACGTCCAGGCAGATCGGACACCGGAACTGACGCTCCGTCACCGAGATGTTCGCCTGCGCCATCAGCTCCACGCTTAGACCCGGGTTAGACCTGGTTTAGTTCCTGGTTTAGACCTGGTTTAGTCCTGGTTTAGTCCTGGTTTAGACCTGGTTAGTTCTGGTTTCTGGTTTAGACCTGGTTTAGACCTGGTTTAGTCCTGGTTTAGTCCTGTTTTCTTCTGGTTTAGTCTGGTTTAGTCCTGGTTTAGTCCTGGTTTAGTCTGGTTTACTCCTGGTTTAGTCCTGGTTTAGTCCTGGTTTAGTCCTGTTTTGTTCTGGTTTAGACCTGGTTTAGTCCTGTTTAGTTTAGACCTGGTTTAGACCTGGTTTAGTCTGGTTTAGTCTGGTTTAGTCCTGTTTTGCTTCTGGTTTAGTTCTGGTTTAGTCTGGTTTACCTGGTTTAGTCCTGGTTTAGTTTAGTCCTGGTTTAGTCCTGGTTTAGTCCTGTTTTGCTTCTGGTTTAGTTCTGGTTTAGACCTGGTTTAGTCCTGGTTTAGACCTGTTTTGCTTCTGGTTTAGTTCTGGTTTAGTCCTGGTTTAGTCCTGGTTTAGTCCTGGTTTAGTCCTGGTTTAGACCTGGTTTAGTCCTGGTTTAGTCCTGTTTTGCTTCTGGTTTAGTTCTGGTTTAGACCTGGTTTAGTCCAAGATTAGATCAAGTTTGGTTCTGGTATAGTCTTGGTTTAGTCCAGATTTAGACCTGGTTTAGTCCAGATTTGGTTCTGGTTAAGTGCTAGTTTAGTCCTGGTTTAGTCTTGGTTTAGTCCTGGTTTAGTCCTAGTTTAGCTTCAGTAAAGTATCTCTCTCACTCTCTCTGGTTTAGTCCAGGTTTAGTTCAAGATTTGGTCAGGTTTGGTTCTGTTATAGTTTTGGTTTAGTCCTGGTTTTGGTTCTAGTTTAATCCTGGTTTAGTCCAAGATCAGATCAAGTTTGGTTCTGGTTTAGTCTTGGTTTAGTCCAGATAGACCTGGTTTAGGTTTCTGGTTTAGTCAAGATCAGATCAAGTTTGGTTCTGGTTTAGTCTTGGTTTAGTTCTGGTTTAGTCCTAGTTTAGCCTCAGTAAAGTATCTCTCTCACTCTCTCTGGTTTAGTTCAAGATCAGATCAGGTTTTGTTCTGGTTTTGTCCTGGTTTGATCCTGATTTAGTCCTAGTTTAGTCCCGGTTCCATCGAGATCAGACCTGGTTTGGTTTAACTAGTTTTAGCCCTACTTTAGTTTAGCCCTTGTTTAGTCCTGATTTAGTCCAGGTTCAGTCCCGGTTCAGTCCTGGTTCAGTCCAGATTTAGTCCTGGTCCTGGGAGACGCGGTTCGTGCGTAAAACCCTGTCCCCGGTGTTGACTCTTTCCCTCCGCGCAGAGAAACTCACTTTTCTCTCCTTCCTGATTTGCTCCCGGTCCAGTCTTTGGTTTACAGCCACTTTAGTCCTGGTTTAGTCCTGGTTTAGTCCGGGTTTAGTCCGGGTTTAACGCCGTGCCGTGCGCTCGTCTCTCATCCCCGGCGCAGAGGAGGAAGCGGCTCGTCCTGCTGCTCCGGTGTGTCCGGTGTTGTTGCTGTGACCGGGAGGAACTGTCCCTGCACGATCTGCGGCACCACGCCTCTGCGCATGCGCGGGCCGGCCTACAACAGCTGTGTCCGGAAACAACCGCTGGATCAAATCAGCGAGTTTAATAAAAAAAAAAAAAAAAAAAAAAAAAAAAAAAACATTTAGAACCGAGAAAACAATGAGAATTTCAGTCCACTTTATATCTATAGCACATTTATTAAAAATAAAAATAAAAAATGTTTCCAAAGTGCTGCACAGTATAAACAAAAACATTCTAAATTCATGACATTCTAAATATTGTCAGGCAAATCCTCTAATGCGTAAATTTGGTTCTTGTACAAACAGTGTTGGGAAGTTTACTTTTAAAATGTAATCCCCTACAGATTACAGATTACATCCCCCAAAATGTAGTTTGTAACGGAATCCATTAAATTACTTAAAGTGAGTAATGTAATCTGATTACTTTGGATTACTTGATTTGCTGTAGAGAAACAAAGACGAGGAAATCTTCACATAAGAAGTTTTGTCTGATAAAAGAAAATAAAAAGTCCAGATTTACTGAACCAAATTAAAAATATTATTGATAGAAGAAGAAGAAACACGTCCACACAGCAGGATTGAGTCCTGTTAAAACCTGTTTTAGTCCTGGTTTAGTCTTTGTTTAGTCCTGTTTTAGTCGTGTTAAATCCAGTTTTAGACCTGGTTTAGTTCTGGTTTAGTCCTGTTTTAGTCCTGGTTTAGTCCTGTTAAATCCAGTTTTAGACCTGGTTTAGTCCCGGTTTAGTTCTGGTTTAGTCCTGTTTTAGTCCTGGTTTAGTCCAACACAAACTGAACCACATCAGACACAAGAAACAACTGTTTTTCTCACACACATTAGTTTATGCAAATGAGTCATGTGGTTTTAAGTTTCATTTCTGTAAAATGTAAACAAATGTGCTCAAAGCTGCATAAACCACATGATCATGTCAAACGGGCTGAAGTGGACCTAGAGTCGTTCTGTTTATATGTTTAAAGTTGAATTTATATATTTATACAGATTAGTCATAGGAATAATAAAAAATAATGATCATTTAAATATTAAAACGTGTTTCTTTTTTGTGGGACGTCGAGTTTATCTGTAGAAATACACATCTGCAGAGGACTTGTGTTGGTAAAAGTGTTTTCCTCTTGATTTTGGTTTTCCAATGTGGCAGGACTAAACTAGAACTAAACCAGGTCTAAAACTGGATTTAACAGGACTGAACCAGGACTAAACCAGGACTAAACCAGGTCTAAAACTGGATTTAACAGGACTGAACCAGGACTAAACCAGGACTAAACCAGGACTAAACCAGGTCTAAACCAGGTCTAAACCAGGTCTAAACCAGGACTAAACCAGGACTGAACCAGGACTAAACCAGGTCTAAACCAGGTCTAAACCAGGACTAAACCAGGACTAAACCAGAACTAAACCAGGACCAAACCAGAACCAAACCAGGAATAAACAAGGACCAAACCAGGACTAAACCAGGACTAAACCAGGACTAAACCAGGTCTAAACCAGGTCTAAACCAGGTCTAAACCAGGTCTAAACCAGGTCTTGGTAAAAGTGTTTTCCTCTTGATTTTGTTTTTTCAATGTGGCTCTTGTGAAAAAAACTGAGCTGTTCTTACTTCACTGTTCTAAATACAAAACTTCTAAATACAAACCTTAATTATTATTACACTTTTCCGATAAAAAAATAAAAATCCATAATTTTATTTCAAAACTTTATTGGTAACATCTCGCTGTAAATGGTCAAACCGTATAAAGTTTCTTCAACAATAAAAGCATTTAAAAAGATCACACGTTTAACTTAAAGAGTCCGTTTGAACGATTCCTCCTTCCTCTGGCGTCGTCCTGTCCTCGCTGCTGATTGGCCGTTCAGTTGATCCGTGACGTTCCGATTGGTCCGTGGGGAGGGGGCGTTACCAGGGCGGAGACATGGGCTGCGGGTTTTGGAGGTAAGACATGACGACCGCAGAGATGGACAACCTGAAAATAATACAAAATAATTAATTAATTTATTTATTTATTAATTAATAAATAATAAACAATAAATAAATAAATAACAAATAATAATAAAGTTATTTCTTAATATTGAGACTTGATTTGTTGTTGGAATAATCTCAAGTGGAGCAGGGATCTAAACCAGGACTAAACCAGGACTAAACCAGGACTAAACCAGGTCTAAACCAGGACTAAACCAGGTCTAAAAGAGGTCTAAACCTGGACTAAACCAGGACTAAACCAGGTCTAAACCAGGTCTAAAAGAGGTCTAAACCTGGACTAAACCAGGACTAAACCAGGTCTAAAAGAGGTAAAAGAGGTCTAAACCTGGACTAAACCAGGTCTAAAAAGGTCTAAACCAGGACTAAAACCAGGACTAAACCAGGTCTAAACCAGGACTAAACCAGGACTAACCAGGACTAAACCAGGACTAAACCAGGACTAAACCAGGACTAAACCAGGTCTAAAAGAGTCTAAACCAGGACTAAACCAGGTCTAAACCAGGAGGTCTAAACCAGGAACTAAAACCAGGACTAAACCAGGACTAAACCAGGTCTAAACCAGGTCTAAACCAGGTCTAAACCAGGACTAAACCACCAGGTCTAAACCAGGACTAAACCAGGACTAAACCAGGACTAAACCAGGACTAAACCAGGTCTAAACAGGTCTAACCAGGACTAAACCAGGACTAAACCAGGACTAAACCAGGACTAAACCAGGTCTAAACCAGGACTAAACCGGGAACTAAACCAGGACTAAACCCAGGACTAAACCAGGACTAAACCAGGTCTAAACCAGGACTCAACACCTCAGGTTAAACTACAGGACTGTGGTGATGTTCTGTGGTGATGTTCTGGTTCTGTGGTGATGTTCTGTGGTGATGTTCTGGTTCTGTGGTGATGTTCTGGTTCTGTGGTGATGTTCTGTGGTGATGTTCTGGTTCTGTGGTGTTCTGTGGTGATGTTCTGGTTCTGCGGTGACGTTCTGGTTCTGCGGTGATGTTCTGGTTCTGTGGTGACGTTCTGGTTCTGTGGTGATGTTCTGGTTCTGTGGTGATGTTCTGTGGTGATGTTCTGGTTCTGCGGTGATGTTCTGGTTCTGTGGTGATGTTCTGGTGATGTTCTGGTTCTGCGGTGAGTTCTGGTTCTGTGGTGATGGTTCTGGTGTTCTGGTGTGTCTGTGGTGATGTTCTGGTTCTGTGGTGTGTTCTGGTTCTGTGGTGATGTTCTGTGGTGACGTTCTGGTTCTGTGGTGACGTGGTTCTGTGGTGATGTTCTGTGGTGATGTTCTGGTTCTGTGGTGATGTTCTGGTTCTGTGGTGATGTTCTGTGGTGACGTTCTGGTTCTGTGGTGACGTTCTGGTTCTGTTCTGGTTCTGCGGTGATGTTCTGTGGTGAGGTTCTGGTTCTGTGGTGATGTTCTGTGGTGATGTTCTGGTTCTGCGGTGATGTTCTGTGGTGAGGTTCTAGTTCTGTGGTGATGTTCTGTGGTGATGTTCTGGTTCTATGGTGATGTTCTGGTTCTGTGGGTGATGTTCTGTGGTGATGTTGTGGTGATGTTCTGTGGTGATGTTCTTGCTGTGGTGATGTTTCTGTTCTGTTCTGTGGTGATGTTCTGGTTCTGTGGTGATGTTCTGTGGTGATGTTCTGGTTCTGTGGTGATGTTCTGGTTCTGTGGTGATGTTCTGTGGTGATGTTCTGTGGTGATGTTCTGGTTCTGTGGTGATGTTCTGGTTCTGTGGTGAGGTTCTGTGGTGATGTTCTGGTTCTGTGGTGATGTTCTGTGGTGATGTTCTGTGGTGACGTTCTGGTTCTGGTTCTGTGGTGAGGTTCTGGTTCTGTGGTGATGTTCTGGTTCTGTGGTGATGTTCTGGTTCTGTGGTGATGTTCTGGTTCTGTGGTGATGTTCTGTGGTGATGTTCTGGTTCTGTGGTGATGTTCTGGTTCTGTGGTGATGTTCTGTGGTGATGTTCTGGTTCTGTGGTGATGTTCTGGTTCTGTGGTGATGTTCTGGTTCTGTGGTGATTCTGGTTGATGTTGGTGGTTCTGTTCTGTGGTGATGTTCTGTGGTGATGTTCTGGTTCTGTGGTGATGTTCTGTGGTGATGGTTCTGGTTCTGTGGTGATGTTCTGTGGTGATGTTCTGGTTCTGTGGTGATGTTCTGGTTCTGTGGTGATGTTCTGGTTCTGTGGTGATGTTCTGTTCTATGGTGATGTTCTGGTTCTGTGGTGATGTTCTGTGGTGATGTTCTGGTTCTGTGGTGATGTTCTGTGGTGATGTTCTGGTTCTGTGGTGATGTTCTGTGGTGATGTTCTGGTTCTGCGGTGACGTTCTGGTTCTGTGGTGACGTTCTGGTTCTGTTCTGTTCTGTGGTGACGTTCTGGTTCTGTGGTGACTGTTCTGGTTTCTGTGGTTCTGTTCTGTTCTGGTTCTGTGGTGATGTTCTGGTTCTGTGGTGAGGTTCTGTGGTGATGTTCTGTTCTGTGGTGATGTTCTTGTGGTGTTCTGGTTCTGTGGTGATGGTTCTGTGGTGATGTTCTGTGGTGACGTTCTGGTTCGTTCTGGTTCTGTGGTGATGTTCTGGTTCTATGGTGATGTTCTGGTTCTGTGGTGAGGTTCTGGTTCTGGTTCTGGTTCTGTGGTGATGTTCTGGTTCTGTGGTGATGTTCTGGTTCTGCGGTGATGTTCTGTGGTGATGTTCTGCTCTGGTGGTGATGTTCTGGTTCTGCGGTGATGTTCTGGTTCTGTGGTGATGTTCTGGTTCTGTGGTGATGTTCTGTGGTGATGTTCTGGTTCTGTGGTGATGTTCTGGTTCTGTGGTGATGTTCTGGTTCTGTGGTGATGTTCTGGTTCTGTGGTGAGGTTCTGTGGTGATGTTCTGGTTCTGTGGTGGTTCTGGTTCTGGTTCTGTTTGTGGTGGTTCTGTGGTGGTTCTGTGGTGACGTTCTGGTTCTGTGGTGATGTTCTGGTTCTGTGGTGATGTTCTGGTTCTGTGGTGATGTTCTGGTTCTGCGGTGATGTTCTGGTTCTGCGGTGATGTTCTGGTTCTGCGGTGATGTTCTGGTTCTGTGGTGAGGTTCTGTGGTGATGTTCTGGTTCTGTGGTGATGTTCTGGTTCTGTGGTGAGGTTCTGTGGTGATGTTCTGTGGACCTGGGGGGTTTAAACTCACATGAAGCTGCTCATCATCTGCTTGGTGTCCTCGGAGCTCCTGGAGTTGGCGAAGCTGATGAAGGAGCAGTAGACGGCGATCCAGGCGCACCACTTCAACTGAACACAGAGGAGGAGAAGAACCCCGCATCATCAAACACATCTAAACCAGGTCTAAACCAGGTCTAAACCAGGTCTAAACCAGGTCTAAACCAGGACTAAACCAGGACTAAACCAGGAGGTCTAAACCAGGTCTAAACCAGGTCTAAACCAGGTCTAAACCAGGTCTAAACCAGGTCAAACCAGGTCTAACCAGATCTAAACCAGGTCTAAACCAGGTCTAAACCAGGTCTAAACCAGGTCTAAACCAGGACTAAACCAGGACTAAACCAGGTCTAAACCAAAACCAGGTCTAAACCAGATCTAAACCAGGTCTAAACCAGGTCTAAACCAGGTCTAAACCAGGAACCATCTAAACCAGGTCTAAACCAGGTCTAAACCAGGAGGTCTAAACCAGGTCTAAACCAGGTCTAAACCAGGTCTAAACCAGGTCTAAACCAGGACTAAACCAGGTCTAAACCAGGTCTAAACCAGGTCTAAAACCAGGTCTAAACCAGGTCTAAACCAGGTCTAAACCAGGTCTAAACCAGGTCTAAACCAGGATCTAAACCAGGTCTAAACCAGGTCTAAACCAGGTCTAAACCAGGTCTAAACCAGGATCTAAAGGACCTAAACCAGGAGGTCTAAACCAGGTCTAAACCAGGTCTAAACCAGGTCTAAACCAGGAGGTCTAAACCAGGATCTAAACCAGGTCTAAACCAGGTCTAAACCAGGTCTAAACCAGGTCTAAACCAGGTCTAAACCAGGTCTAAACCAGGTCTAAACCAGGTCTAAACCAGGACTAAACCAGGTCTAAACCAGGTCTAAACCAGGACTAAAACCAGGTCTAAACCAGGACTAAACCAGGTCTAAACCAGGTCTAAAACCAGGTCTAAACCAGGAACCAGGTCTAAACCAGGTCTAAACCAGGACTAAACCAGGACTAAACCAGGTCTAAACCAGGACTAAACCAGGTCTAAACCAGGTCTAAACCAGGTCTAAACCAGGTCTAAACCAGGTCTAAACCAGGACTAAACCAGGTCTAAACCAGGTCTAAACCAGGTCTAAACCAGGTCTAACCAGGACTAAACCAGGTCTAAACCAGGACTAAACCAGGTCTAAACCAGGTCTAAACCAGGTCTAAACCAGGTCTAAACCAGGACTAAACCAGGACTAAACCAGGTCTAAACCAGGTCTAAACCAGGTCTAAACCAGGACTAAACCAGGTCTAAACCAGGACTAAACCAGGACTAAAACCAGGACTAAACCAGGTCTAAACCAGGTCTAAACCAGGTCTAAACCAGGACTAAACCAGGTCTAAACCAGGACTAAACCAGGTCTAAACCAGGTCTAAACCAGGACTAAACCAGGTCTAAACCAGGTCTAAACCAGGACTAAACCAGGACTAAACCAGGACTAAACCAGGTCTAAACCAGGTCTAAACCAGGTCTAAACCAGGACTAAACCAGGTCTAAACCAGGGTCTAACCAGACTGAGGACTAAGACCAGGACTGACCAGACCAGACTGAGTTCAGTCTTGATTCAGTCCTGGTTCAGTCCTGGTCTAGTCTGGTCTAGTCCTGGTTCAGTCCTGGTTCAGTCCTGGTTAGTCCTGGTCTAGTCTAGTCCTGGTTCAGTCCTGGTCAGTCCTGGTCAGTCCTGGTTCAGTCCTGGTCTAGTCCTGGTCTAGTCCTGGTCAGTCTGGTCTAGTCCTGGTCTAGTCCTGGTCCTGGTCTAGTCCTGGTCTAGTCCTGGTCTAGTCCTGGTCTAGTCCTGGTCTAGTCCTGTCTAGTCCTGGTCTAGTCCTGGTCTAGTCCTGGTCTAGTCCTGGTCTAGTCCTGGTTCAGTCCTGGTTTCAGTCCTGGTTTCCTGGTTCAGTCCTGGTTCAGTCCTGGTTAGTCCTGGTTAGTCACTGGTTCATTTTTTGTACCACTGTTGTCTTTTTGCACACACAGATTCTTTTGACACATGCCGTGTAAGTCAACGACCGATTTATGAAACTTCAATTCAAACTCACCCGCAGCCCCTTTTCTAACCCAACCCCCTGAGGAGCTGAGGAGTGTGAACAGGGCACTGGACCAAACACACTCAACTGTTCACATAAAGTTTAAAGTGAGATGTTCCAAAACAAAACACCAGGTCCAAGCTTTAAATATAAAATATCGCGAGAGGAGCGGGACAGAACCGACCGTACATCACTTCAGTTTTTTGTGTATTGACTTTAATAGTTTTATTTGTAAAGTGAAAATCTGATGCACCAGTTTATTTGTGTTAAAAATACAAACTTCTAAATCCGTGTGTCAATCGTTCGTTTGTTTTTCAAAATAAAACCAAAAATTATAAAATGAAAAAACAACTATTTTCTTCATTATTTGTCTCCAAAACCGAAACAGTTTTTGATTTTGTGTTTAAATTAAAAATGGAAAAAATTGATAAAGGATTGAACCAGGATTAAACCAGGTCCAGGTCCAGACCGGAACCAGACTGAGGCTGAGACCAGGACTTAGGTCAGGAATGGTCCGGGACTGAGACCGGGACTGAAGCCTTGACCAGACCAGGACTGAAAACGGTTTAGTCCTGATTCAGTCCTGATTCAGTCCTGGTTTAGACCTGGTTTAGTCCGTTATCCGTTTTTCATTTAAACACAAAATTGAAAACTGAAAAAACAAATCATTATCTGTTTTATTTTTTTCATTTTGGTTTTGGAGACAAATAATGAAAATAGTTTTTTTTTTTGTTTGTTTGTTTTCTTTTGAAAAACAAATGAACCAACGACACAGATTCTTCTACACTAACACAACAGAGAGTTTGAGGAGACTCTTTCCTCTTGTGTCTCCAGTTCACCTGGCGCCCCCTGCAGGCGACTGTGAGGCTGCAGACACAGACGACACAGAGGAAGGACACTTTTGTTACTCTCCTCACCGCCCTGACACAGATCTGACTCGACCTGTTGAGCTGCACCGAGACTTTCGTTTGAATTTTTTGTCATTATTGTATTTTACTGCTCCATGTGCTTAAACTGCCCCTCAGGGACAAATAAAGAGACACTGAGTGATTATCATCTGTCGTTGTGTCTTTTCAGTGTAAAATGATCAAGAGTCGTGTGAAGAATCCCTCAGTCGTCCAGGTAGAAAACACGGCGAGGAGAAAATTCAGTTTGTCGACTGGACAAAAGTGAGTTTGGTTGAAGATGTTTCTCAGCTTGTCCAAGCTGCTTCTTCAGTTCTGGTCAGACACTGGTGACACTTCCTTATATCTGCAGGAGGAGCTAACTACACTGAAACTACTCTGAAACTAACACACACTTGTTTACAGTTTGTGTTTGTTAGTTGGGCCTGTTGACCTGTACAGGGTGTGGGGGTCTAATTATCAGAACAATTCATGTCCATAATGCAGCTTCCACACCTCTGGACCTGACCTGACTCCACCTGTTGTTCTCTTGTTTGTTTGGATTTAGGTTTTAGGATGGACGTGTAAATAGGAGACAGATGGTGTCTGAGTCTATTTCTGTTTAGAGAAGAATTCTCTTTCTTCACAAAAATGGCTTCTTTCACTTCCCTCTCAAACCAATTCTTTTCTTTGGCTAAAATCTGTACCTCACTGTCCTCAAATGAGTGGCCCGTGGTTTTTAAGTGGAGATGAACATCAGACTGAGGTCCTGTGTTGTTCTCTCGTCTGTGTTGGTTCTTGTGAAGTGTCTGTTTAGTTTCTCCAGTGTCACTTCAGTCTTCACTGCACTGAATGGAGTAGAGCAAATTGCTTTGTTTGTGTCTCGGTGTTTTGTCTGTTTCTGTCTTAGAGTGTTTGTAGGTTTGAAATAGACCGGGATCTCATGTAAAAAAAAAAAAAAAAAAATGTTAAAGAGTTTTTCAAGTGCTGTATAGATCCTTCTTTGTCTTATTATTATTATCAAAGGGTATTTCTCATGAGAAACCCAGTTCCTCATTATCTGTTATCTTCTGCAAGTGCAGTCCTCCCTACGCACATCCCTTCCTACATCTCAGCAGCTGGCACACACACACACACACACACACACACACACACACACACACACACACACACACAAGCACACACACACACACACAAGCACACACACACACACACACACACACACACAGCACACACACACACACACACACACACACACACACACACACAAGCACATATACACACTTTTATTTTCTGTGCTTTTTTACTGTGATAGAAAAATGTAACCGCCCATTTATTCCTGTAACCTGTGTGATTCAATAAATATGCAGCGGGGGGAAAGTGACCCTTCCACAGTTAAGAGCTGTAGCGGCGCCTCTGTCCCTCGCCACGAGTAAAAACCTGAATTCTACCTTCTGAGTTTCTTTGTGTTAATATCTCTGTTATTTTCTGACAAAAGTCAAAGAGCCACAGGTCACTCATGTGAGGACAGAGATGTACAGATCTGAGCCAGAGAAAAGAATTGATTTGAGAGGGGAGTGAAAGAAGCCATTTTTGTTAAGAAAGAGAATCCTTCTCTAAACAGAAATGAACTCAGACACCACCTATCTCCTATTTACACGTCCATCCTCAAACCTGAATCAAAACAAACAAGAACAACAGGTGGAGTCAGGTCAGGACCAGAGGTGTGGAAGCTTCATTATGACCTGAATTGTTCTGATAATTAGACCCCCACACCCTGTACAGATCAACAGGCCCAACTAACAAACACAAACTGTAAACAAGTGTGTGTTAGTTTCAGAGTAGTTTCAGTGTAGTTAGCTCCTCCTGCAGATATAAGGAAGTGTCACCAGCGTCTGACCAGAACTGAAGAAGCAGCTTGGACGAGCTGCAAAACGTCTTCAACCAAACTAACTTTTGTCCAGTCGACAAACTGAATTTTTTCCTAGTTATGAAGAGTCACCTTGAGCATGAGGCCACACATGCTGAAGATCATCCCCAGAAGGTTCATGTAGTCGGGGGTGGGGTCCTCCAGGGTCGGGTTGGTCTCTGTGCTCGGAGGTTTGTACCTGGAGAAGAATTTAACACCACGTTAGAGTTAAAAAAAAAAAAAAACACTGAAAAGATATTGTACTGTTTTAAAAGATGACCTGCTTTAAAACAGAACTGAGGTTTTTTTGGTCCGCTGTGATTTAAATTTAGTCTGTTCTAGTTTTAAGGGATGGTCCTTGTTAGGGACGGGCATTCGATGAAATTTTCTTAATCGATCGTCGGAAGAATTAACGATCGATTATTGATTCATCTTTAACGTTTTTATATTAAAATGATCATCATTATTATTACTATCTGCACTAATCTGCATAAATAAATTCAACTTTACGACATATAAAACATAAACACTCTAGAGCACGGGTGTCAAACATGCGGCCCGGGGGCCAGATTCGGCCCTCGGCTGATTTTCTACTAAAATATTTTAATTATATTTTCTATTAAAGTATTAGTAATTTTCTGCACTGCTTAGCATAGTGTCTCCAGCGTCTCTGTACGTGGCCCCTCCCACCAGAGCAGCACAAATGAAGACTTGTCTCTTTCCAAACGCTCTTAAAGGACGATCGTTTTGACTGTTGACCGTGACACCCTCATCAGAAAAATGTCCAACATGAGAAAAGTGGAGCCGAGTGCAGGATTTTACAACAAAAATTGACTTATTCCTGTTTACAGACAAGTTCATGTTAAAACTTTGTGTTGAAATTGTATTTTTCTTAAAGTTTCAGGTTGTTCATAATATTATAATATTTAGTAAAAGAAAGAGTTCATCAATTAAAAAAGATTTCTGTAATAGATTTGTGTTTCTCTGCACAAATATTTGAACTTATTGTTATTTTTGGGGTTTATATGACATGAGTTTTCTGATCCGGACACTTTGGGATCAAAGTCGGTTGGACGCGACCCCCGGAACAAAATGAGTTTGACTCTCCTGGTCTAGAGCCACATCAGCTGTTTGACGTTATAATGTGTTTAATTCAGATTTGTGCAAATCTCACAGAAACTAAACTTAAAACCACATGACTCATTTACATAAACTAAGCAAGAAAAAAAAAAAACAGCTCTTGTGTCGCTGATGTGGTTCAACTTCTGTCGGATTAAAAGACATGACTCAGGTGAATACAGGTCAGTGTGACCAGATTTGTGTTTGTCAAAACTAGGACAGCGTACGGGGGGAGGGGGGCGGGGCCTCGTCATCCACATTGAGCGACTCTCACCTGGCAAAACTTTTTCATGCTTTTCTGTGTCCTGGTGAACTTTTTCCCACTGGACACTGACACATAGGTGTTGTTTTGTTCACTGTGCACATGGACTCACACTTGTCCCGATCGGAACAGAAAGTGTGGAATTTCTTGAACAAATCATCCTTAAATCCACATTTGTGCTTCGGTTCGTTACAGACTGACCCACTGTTTGTGTCTCGCTCCTTCTGATGCAGAGACACATGTACACACCTGTTTGGTCACGACACACACAGCAACCTACACCCGGTTTGTCAATTAAAATGAACGTAATCGATAAAATTCTTAATGATCAATTATTGATTAATCGACTAATCATGCCCATCCCTAGTGTTTACTGTGTAATTATAGCTTATAACTTACAGGGAATTAGAAATCTATATGCTCTTTGTTAATTTGGAACAGCAGAAAAAAGGGATGGGGTTAAATAAGTTTTACTTCTTCCCCACTTTTTCCGACACAAGTAAAATCTGCGTGATATTTAATTTTTTTTATTGTTATAGAAAATTTATATTTATTTTTTGTATTATATCTATGCATTTACGTTTACTATACATTACTGCTCGAATAAACATTCATTCATTCATTCAAATGACATCACAAGGTGGGACAGAGTGTGTTTTCAGTTTGAGAGAAGAACTCTGAATGTGCAGGGTTTTTGTGTTAAACAAGTGTGAATGATACAGTACAGTGACATTTTTGATAGAACAGTATTTAGTATTTTAGTGAAATGCTTCATTAACAATAATTAACAGGCCCCAGGACATGAGCTCGGGTCATGTCCTTTCTTACACTTTATTTATTATTACTGTAAAAAAAAAGTACTACTTTATGTTATTTTCATCTATTAACGGGTAAAAATATGTTTGTCATCGCGTTATCACGCTGTGCACATCTAAAATACTCCAAAAAAACCTAATAAAATCTAATTGGTTTATGAATTAACAACTTAATCACCTCTGGGCTAATCTGCTCAGGCGTTTAAATGGATACTATTAGCTCGTTCGATAGCATCCACACATTTCGCCACAGATTTCACACATTTCTGGGTAAAAAACACTTACCTCAAAATCTTGTTCTGCCTGCGCGGGTCCGACATGTTGTTCGAGGACATAATACGTTGAAATCGCAGTAAAAAATGTCCTCTTTTACGGAGTTTTAATCGCAAAAGTGAGCGACCGCGGCTGACTCCGGGGACGAGTGCGGGAGGGGGAGGTGCTTCCGAGCGCGGTGTTTCACAATAAAAGCATTCCTGTCAAAGTAAGCGGAGGTTTAAACAGAGAAAACGGAGCCGTGCTTTTATTTTGATAGCGCCGCATGTTCGCTGTGCAGACGAGAGGAAAACTAAGAGGGGACGTGCTTCCGGGTGCGGCGTTTCACAATAAAAGCGCTCCTGTCAAAGTAAGCGGAGGTTTAAATAGAGAAAACGGAGTGGTGCTTTTATTGTGACAGCCCCGCCGGTTCCCTGTGCGGCGTGTGTTGAATGAGAGATTGTTTTTATCAACAGAAAAAGTGTTTCGAGTTTAAAATATGAAACGTGGATAAAACCGGAACAACCCGCGTGTTTATTATCAGGAAGGTAACAAACTGATACTACTACTATTATTACTACCGTTACTACTACTACTACTACTACTACTATTATTGTTGCTACTGCTAGTATTACTGCTGCTACTACTGCTACTGCTACTACTATTAGTACTAGAACTACTACTACTACTACTACTACAACTATTACTATTACTAGAACTACTACTGCTACTACTATTACTATTACTACTAGACAACAACAACTACTACTACTACTAGAATTACTACTACTACTAGAACTACTGCTACTACTACTACTGCTGTTACTACTACTGCTGTTATTAATACTACTACTACTACTACTACTACTACTACTACTACTACTACTACTACTACTACTACTACTACTACTACTACTACTACTACTACTACTACTACTACTACTGCTACTACTACTACTACTGCTACTACTACTACTACTACTACTACTACTACTACTACTACTACTACTACTACTACTACTACTACTACTACTACTACTACTACTACTACTACTACTACTACTACTACTACTACTACTGCTACTACTACTACTACTACTACTACTACTACTACTACTACTACTACTACTACTACTACTACTATTACTACTACTACTAGAACAACAACTACTACTACTGCTGTTACTACTACTATTAATACTGCTACAACTGCTACTACTAGAACTACTACTACTACTGCTTGATTTAAATTTTTTTTTTTTTATTTCTGGTCGTGGTCCCTCTGATCACTCACATCACGTTTATCTGTTTACATGTTATTAATGTCGTCTTAAAGGTCCAGAAATCAGATTATAATCACATTTGAGTGCACGTGAACGAGGCCACTGACTTTATGTAAAATTATATACAGTAATATAGCAATAGTACGGAAGCCCTGAGTGGCAAGAGAAAAAAATAATAAAGAGGCACGTCATTTGGGCTCTATTTTCTAAATGATTTGCGGGTTTTTTTGCACCACCAAAATAAAAATAAAAAAAGTCCTAAAAAAAATAAATTGTCTTTTTTTTTTTTTTTTTTTTTTCATCAACAACAAAATGTTCTTTTCTCTCTCTCTCTCTCTCTCTCTTTTTTTTTTTTTTAAATCGTTGATGTGGCTGATAAAATTCTGGCAAAAAAAAAAAAAAAAGATAAAATTAGCTGTTGGGGAAAAAAACAAAACAAAAAAAACCTTATTTGAGTCGTTGGTGCAAAATGAAAAATTAATAAAGACAAGTTTATTTTATGTTTTTAGAAGAAAAAAATTAGTTGTTGGAGCAAAAAATAAAAATAATTTTAAAAAAATAAATAAACACTTATAAATAAATAAACAACCCAAATGACATGCCTCTTTTTTTTTTTCTCTCTCTCTCTCTTGCCACTCAGGGCTTCCGTACAATACACTGGACATTGTGTATTCTTTTTTTTTTTTTTTTTTTATAAGATTGTGTGTTTAATTGTATCTTTTAATTAAACCTTTACAATCCATTACAACCATTTTTATATTATCAAATAGTATTTTTATTATCCATTTTATGAGAAAATCTGTAACAAAATGACTCACCTGAACCCTGTGCTTCCCCTTCCTCCTCAGGGAGCAGCTCCATGGCGTTTCCTGCCCCCAGACCCGAGGGCCCCCAGCTGCCTCAGGTCCTGCTCCGGACCGTGGACTGTCAGCAGGGGCCGGTACGAGCAGTGAGATTCAATGGTAAAGAAACACTCCAGCGCTCCTCCAAAATCTGAGAAAAAACGCCACAAACTACAGGAGAATGAGCCTGATTATGACTGTGATTTGTTTCTCCTCGAGTTTGGGGAGGCGTGACCCGAGTTTGTGTCTCTGCGTGTGATTTTGAAGCTGCTGTGCTCCTCGTGTGTGTGTGTCAGTGCGACTATAACTCAAACATCAGCAACAGAGCGTCAGGGGCAGAAGAGCGACGGACACAGAGACGCAAGAAACAAACTCAGGAAATAGCGAAAATAATTTTTACTCACCTCTCGTAAAGTTGTAAATTTAAAGTGCAGCATCTCATCCACATTATCCTTAGAATTTGTCATCTGCAACAATGACATCCAGTCCACAAAACAGCTCTGTGAATCCAGTTTAAGGCGTTGCTTAAAAGTAAAAAAGGCCAGAGTAGTTCCTCACGTGTGTCTGTTTACATAGGGTGACCATATTTCCGTTTGTAAAAACCCGGACACCTTGGGGAAGGGTTTTTTTTTTTTTTGTGTTTTTTTTTTTACAGTGTATGAACGCATAAAAATTGTGTCCAAAATATACTGAGGTTTTACAGCAGGTAGTAATTACACACGTTTGGGTCAGGACTAAACCAGGTCTAAAAATACACATTTGCACTTCGGTATCTTGCAGACTGACCGACTGTTTGTGTCTCGCTCCTTCTGAGTCACAGACGCTACGAGAGACGCTCAGTTTAATGAACGGTACTGAAAACCCGGACATTTGCATCACTTTATAAAAAAACCCCGGACGCCCCAGACATGACGCAAAATACGGACATGTCCGGGGAAAAACGGACGTTTGGTCACCCTAGATTACATCCACACAGCGCTCGGATTGAGCTGAAGCTGCAGATTCACCACAGTGACTCTACTTCCCCACCACTTTATCTCCAATCTTTTCTGCTTTAAAAATCTTGTATCTGAAGTTTTGCTCCACATTTCACAAATAATAACAACACAGTTTTGACTTGTATCTAAACTAGAAGTGCAGAGTCTGATCTTTGAACACTTCAGAGTCTCAGAGCGACTGGTTTTACTGGAGACAGGAAACGGCTCACAGATTTATATCCTGTGGTCCGCAGACAGATCCCGCTTTAGTCTTTGAGATCGGAGATTTAAAATCTCGTCAGATTCTCCTCGTGTCTGTGGTTTGTGCTATTTTTGAAACACTTTTAAAAACCGTTTAAGACTGAAAATCCTGTAGTGTGTGGCGGCCTTCACTGTCTCTCCACAGACCTGACCCGTAACTTGGTCTGTTGGCGTCACCTGCTCGTTTCCAAGGATACAGTAGATACAATGCCATACTGTGGAACATTCTAAGCAGGTGGCAGAACCTCCACCGGAAATGTTCCCTAGTGCGCCTTTTAACGTGTGTGTGTTTTTCTGCAGTGGACGGGAACTACTTTTTGTCGTGCGGCGCGGATAAATCTCTGAAACTGTGGAGCGTGAACAGAGGGACTTTACTGAAGACGTACAGCGGACACGGATACGAGGTGCTGGACGCCGACAGGTCAGGAAAAAAGAAAAACAAACACGGCCGATGTTCTGTGGAAATGTGCTGCGCCGTCGAAATGAGCTCTAGTCTGTCTTAGTCCAGACAGAAAAAGGGACAACAGAAGAAACATTACAGGAAACATGTAGCTCCCCTGGTTTTCTTCACAAAAAAAGAACTTCACGCTCCGTCCTGATGATCATGTGTCAGTATTTATTCTCAGTGATCTTCAACTCCATCAACACATTGAAAACCACGAAAACTAAAATAAGGACAGACACAGAAAATGTCTCAGTTTTACATAAATATCTTTAAATAAATGTACAAAAACATCAACTCTAAAGCAGGACTAAACCAGGAC